CGCCATAATTTGAGAACGGCTAGACCGATTTAGCTTTGTTTTGTCAGGAGAAGGAAATAATATCTTGAAAATCCTACCGGAACGGGAAAAAATGAAATGAAAATTGGATTGCACGTACGAAGTCGCGGGTAGAAGCTACTTAGGTATATTTACAATCAACTAAAAATTACGACTGCCTCGTTAACCGAGTGGTCGCAAGTGCGATTGTCGGGCAAGGGGTCTCGGGTGGTTCGATTCCTGGGTCGGGCAAAGTATTACTGGGTTTTAAAAAATCCTCAGTAGTAGCACGGAATCTGGAAATGTTGTGCCCGATATATGGCAATAGGCTCACTCCCTATTACATGGCACTTATAACATAAATAGTGTAAAGTGGGTGTTACATTGTACAGTGGCATAATGTGCACCTCTGCCTACCCCTTCGGGGATAAAAGGCGTGATGTTATGTTATGTATGTAAAAATTACGATTTACGTAAATATACTGAGAAAAACGCTACTAGTTTCGACAGAAATAGCGACATCGCCGCGACAGCGCAAGCTGCTCATGAGGAAGAGTCTGCTCTGTGATGTGAAACTAGTAGAATTTTTTCAGTATACATATTTACGTAGGTAACTCGTAATTTTTAGTTGATTCAGCATGTCTCATGGTAGTTATTATATATACAAATATATTTACAATGAAACGTTAGTTAGATTAATTAACTATTTACTAGCCGCCCCGGCTTCGCACGGGTGCAATTTGCATGTATTATACATATAAACCTTCCTTAAGAATCACTCTATCTATTAAAAAAAACCGCATCAAAATCCGTTGCGTAGTTTTAACGATCTAAGCATACATAGGGACAGGCAGATGGCGGATATCGACTTTGTTTTATACTGTGTAGTGATTAATATTCTAGTGTTTTAATGTTATTACTAGTAAGAAAATTATTTATATCTGGTACTCCTTTTTCCCTTGGGCCTCCGGTAACCTTAATCACACGTCGAAACACAACGCAAGCGTTGTTTCACGTCGGTTTTCTGTGAGGCCGTGGTATCACTCCGGTCGAGCCGGCCCATTCTAAAGCATGGCTAACCTACGCATTGATGTTGTATATTTAGTTTACTATCATTAATTTAAAATGAGACCTAGGCATTTATTTCAGAAGGTTCAGAAGAGAAACTTAATGCTTAGAATGACATAATGATTTTTAAACTATCTAACATCTATATGTACAGAAACTTAGACCTTATAATTAAAATACATATATTTTCGGAACATACATTTTATTCTACAACTTATTACTATGACTTATAAGGTTTACATTGCATTGCTAAGCACTTATACCAAGAATTTAACACTATAATTACAATATCTTAATATTTAGCTAAATACACTGTAAATTCTATTCCGTTTTCGTCCCGAAGTAAAATGGTTCTGTCTTGGTAATACAATAGTTTTACAAAGGAATCAAATGTTTTAGAATAACTATCGTGAGACATACTAAATTAACTAAAATCGCGGGTGAACTGTGTGAACTGGTAAATATACTGAGAAAAGCTCTACTAGTTTCGAACTACAGAGGGATTGAGTGAGCTGCGCGGCGTCGCCGCGACCGCGCACGCTACTCATGAGGAAGAATCCCTTTGTGGTTCGAAACTAGTAGAGCTTTTTTCAGCATAGTTACGTGAGTAATCTGCGATTTTAGTTAAAGAAATAAAATTTTTAAAACAAAAAATATTAGTGAACCATTGCAAAAAGCAAACTTGGAAAGCGCACGAACTCATAGTACATTATAAACACATCACGCACTATAATTCTCGAAGAGGTATTTCTCATCGGGTGGCACGTGGAATGCGAATAGTGCCTACAAATTTATGTCTAGCGTTTCATGTGCGCATTTCCATAAAAAACTTTTATTACGTAATAAAAATGACGTCACTGTTTTTTTGTTTTTACTTTATACATCGAAAGTAGTCCTTATGGCAAGTTGTTTTGCCGCGGAACAAAAACGAAATAGATTTGACTGTGTATAATTATGGTACAGGAACAAAAACTCTTTTAATTCAGTTAAATTACAGAGCAAAATATATTGTGTTTGTTAAAGTATAGGCCCTATAATAACTTTACACATACATACTTTTTATACATGAAAATCATATTATACGATAGCTAATATTGCAGAATTTGACTAGGCATACAGAAAAGTTGGTTTCGAAATAAATCAAACCATATATATTTATTAAAAATACAAAAAATTTTCAGTAGTAGCACGGAATCCGGGATTGTGCCCAGTATATGGCAATAGGCTCACCCCCCATTACATGGAACTCATAACATAAATAGTGAAAAGTGGGTGTTACATTGTGCAGTGGCATTAAGTGCTGTAACGTGCACTTATGATTATACTTCGGGGATAACAGGCGTAATGTTGTGAAATACTTTAGTTTACAGATAGAGAAAACAAACTAAATAAATATCACGTTTAATTGATGATTCTAGTTTTGACAGTAGCAGCCAATATCATTCTTTTTTTTATGGAATAGGAGGCAAACGAGCAGACGGATCACCCTGATGGTAAGCGATCAGCGCCGCCCATGGACACCCGCAACACCAGAGGAGTCACAGGTGCGTTGCCGGCATTTTAAAAAGGAGTACCTACGCTCTTTACTTGAAGGTTTGAAGGTCGTATCGGTTCTTTTATTACAATCTTTAAAATATTCCACAATAATGTATTGAACTTTTAAATGCGTTTGCAAACTAATGAGCAACCAAAGCTGGCTTACTGAATAAATAACAAAATCAAAGATGAACTAACATGTTTTCATGTCCGCCTGGTATATGAATGAAAAATATTGCACATGGTTTTTTACATACAATCAATCTATTTACGAATTTGACGTCACAATGTTATTTACGTAAACATTAGTTTTCCCTTATAATGACAAAACAAAAAATACGTTCGCAAGTAAAATATTTTTCATCATCATCATTATGATCAAACGACAATAAACACGCCTCATTCCATTTGTAGACTTGTATGGACATGTTCGTATTCAGTTTCAGTCCTACACGTGTAAAAACAGGTAAAACCGATATAAATATATATTTCCTTAATGACAGAGTATTTGTCACCATCCATTCTTTTGCCCTCGGGTATTCTAGACTAAGGACTATATTGCACCATGGCGTCGCAACCAGGTACCGCAACCAACATGTATACAGCTCTATAGAGCGTTATGCCTCATTTACATTCAGCTGTAGTGAGCAGAGAAGTGGGCAGGACGAGTATGTAAACGTATACTTCTCATGCCACTGCTTAATGCCACTCGCGCTGCCCAGCGCACCCCAAAAGAGCGGTTTTTTGTGTGGACTTCAAAGGACCGAAAACGCGCGCGTGTTTACATTCTGCTCAAGCGCTCAGTTGACGCCGGACGCCCGGAGTTTTTAAAGTTCTATTACGTACGATGAATAGATATCATCCACCATCTTCTACGACGTCTTTTCTTTTTTTTTTCATTCGATTTATTTTTAGCTGACGCACATAATTATATACCTATATAATTTGCAGCGTCCGCGCTGTGTCTTTTAGCGATAGGTATCGCTAAAAGACACAGCGCGGACGCTGCAAAAATTTGCCATTCGTCTGCCATTTCTGGAACTTGAAAGCGAACTGAGAGGAAGGGCAGTATGTATACACACATATCCCTCGATCCTGCCACAGCAGTATTTAGGGAATTATTGCCGGCAGCACGAGGAGCAGCGATAGGGGCTGAATATAAATGAGGCATTACTCACTAGAGTGTCAAGCACGAATAACTATCGCATTCGTAACTTTATAGTATAGATGTTTTATCTCACGGGTACGGGTACGCCATACCTGTGTAAGTAAATGTACACGCACATTGTGTTTGTTTGCGTACGCTCGGGAACGCCCAGTTTTGGCGTGCATGCCAATGAAAGAGTTTGTTTCGAGTTACGCACACAAGCGCGCGTGTCTATACGCACTACAACTACAACTATGGCTCACCCGCGCTCGTGAGACAAAAGAACTATTTCGAGCGCGTTCGGAACTCGGATTGGTTGGTTCACTGGAGTTCACTATAGCTATTCGATAGTTATTCGTGCTTGACTTGGTAATCTGGCGGCGTGAACAGCTCGGAGGCCTTAGTACGAGTTTGTCTTACGTTTAAAGTAAACGTAACGAGTACGCGTTCAGCGCTCTGATTGGTTGGTTCATTGGCACCGGCCAATCAGAGCGCCGAACGCGTACGTTTAAAGTATTCGAAACGAGTACGCGTTCAGCGCTCTGATTGGTTGGTTCATTGGCACCGGCCAATCAGAGCGCCGAACGCGTACTCGTTTCGAATACTTTAAACGTAAATGAAACTCGTACTAAGGCCTCTGATGGCACAACGCTGGTCACGCCACCACTAACTACTGTAGCGCGTTTGGTGTGCGACTGGTTGCGCCGCCATGGTGTCACAATGCAATATAGCCCTAAAAGACAATGTGCGTTTTGTTGTTGTTTTCCTTTAATTATGTCATTTACAGATCTGGAAGCTGTTATTCTTAAGAGTGTTAAATGGATAAAGAAAGGATCGAGTCAGTCCCAACACAAGTATTGTGTAATGACTTACTGGGACTGCCTCAATGTTAGACAGATAATGTAATTCTTAAGATAATTAACAATTTGAATTTGAACTTGAAAAAAGACAACATGCTTAACAGACAGCGAGTAGCAGTCCTCCAAGCGTGGTTCTTTCAAACCGCCATTTTTGACCATCGAGAAGATTATGGCATATTCCTCTTTTATAGTGAAACAAGTGAATTTATTTGTGCAAATAGGCTACAATCAATTTTACAAGCGAACCATGAGGCCGACATTGAGGAAGATATAGAGGAGGCTCTTAGTCTACCAGTGGATGCTCTGAAGCTGTTGACGATGATGATGATGATGCTGAAGATGATGATCCTACCATAACTATTTCATTTTAAACATATCAATTTTTGTACATATCAGCCAAGACCTTTTCCATAGGAGTTTGTCCAATAGTCTTCGCGAAGAATTCTCTTTCTAACTGCTGTGGTGTGACTAGACGTAGGAGAGGGAGTAAGAGAAGGAGTCTGCCAAACCTTGCTGGAGCTGTTCCGTGAGCTGTGCGAGCGTGGGTCATTAGCATCACTTGCGCTTGGTCTTGGAGATTTTCTATTTGCAGCGGGTCTTTTAGGCCTCTGGTTTCTGTAAGGTAATATTTCGTGTTAGTGATGTTGTTAAGTAAGTCTAGTAGTGTGATTTGTGGTATTTTTTTTTAAGGGGGGAAAATCATCGAATGACTTCTCCCCCCTGGGTGAGGCAGAAGGGAGTGTTAGACTCTTACTGACTAAAAACCATCCCGTTCCTTCTCCTGCACGTCGAGCCGGAGCCGTTAGGTTCTCCGCGACTGATTTGTGGTATTAGGCTAGTCTAATATTATATCGCATAGGACTCTTAACTAAAAAAACTGATGAATTCTGTGTCTTAAATTCAATGTACATGAGCAATTATTGTACTTGTCTCATAGCCTTAGGAGATTAAAATCCTGTAATTGTTTTGTGTATATCTTAAAATTTTGTGTGAGCAGTTTTCTTTGAAATGGATTTCTGCTGTAATATATTTACAGATTACTCTTTGTACTCATCACTACATAGTATAAAACAAAGTCGCTATCCGCTTTAAAACTACGCAACGGATTTTGATGCGATTTTTTTAATAGATAGTGATTCTTAAGGACCTTCCTTATTCCCACTTCCATATTATACATATGTATAATACATGCATATTGCACCCGTGTGAAGCAAGGACTCTCGAAATCTGTCTGTGAATCACACGTTGTTGGAATTTTCCATTCCTGAAGAGTCTTTCGGCTTTTCTACATTATTTATGACAATCGTTCTTTTTTTTATTCTCCTTTATTTAATTTTTTTAGGAGGTTTTAGTGACAATAGTTCTGAATTTTGGTAATAGTAGAATGATGGAGAATGACTAGTTTTTTTCTAACTTACCAGACTTGAAAAGAACGATAGCCTTCATGCAAGCGAACTCAGCAGGATCGACGAGAACCGTCCTGTACCTAGCAAGCACTTCCCTCAGACGACGCAATGTCGCCGAGTCCACTCCGTTCTCTGCAAAACCATTTATAGTGATGCAATGAAGGCGTCGTATTCTTTCTGTGTACAAAATTTTAAAGTGAATTTGGGATTAGGGCTTATGAAGATGGTGAGTTCTATGATGGACAAAATTTGAGATGGCATGAGACTGCTGTTCAAATAGTAAATGGTTTTTTTTTTGAGGGGAGATAATCATCGAATTGCTTCTCCAGCCTGGGTGAGGCAGGGGGGAGTGTCAGATTCTTTCTGACTAAAAACCACCCCGTTCCTTCTCCTGCACGTCGAGCCGGAGCCCCGGTTACCCGTTAGGTTCTCGGCAACTCCGAATCGGCATCAGCCCTATTGGGCCCCATCTGTGGTGGTCTGATGGCTCTTTGAGGCGCGCGCGGAACGCTCGGCGCCGTACGCTCGGGTCTGTTTCTGGTCGGACGGGGAGCCACCCATGCTCGCCGGCCGCAGGCCCGAGTAATTGGATTTAAAATTCTATCTGTCTGCGGTCTAGGATCTACATATTTTCACATCTGTTTTGTTATTGTTAATAGACCAAATGGTGGTAAGCGATGACGATGCCAACATTGGAGCCGGTTGGTCCCCTTTAGCTACGAGTCGAGGAGTTGAGTCTATTTGGTCCATTGCTATAGGGTCATTCCGCTCTTAGTTATAGGGAAAATAAAGGAGGTCTTATGATTTGTTTCCAAAGAACATAATACTTATGATGCATCCTAGAACTTGCATCATGACTAACTTTAAATTATGAATCCATCTGTATTATAACTTTCGTGAGACATACTAAATAAATTATTATGTTTCCGGCTTACTCAGTAGCAGCGCGACAGTCGCCGCGTCGTGGGTCGCGAAATGCTGCTCACGAATATGAGCCTCTAGCATGGCTTGAAACTAGTCGAGTTCCTCGTCAAATAATTACGTGAGTTAGCCGAAAACATAACAATTTATGAATCCATAACTGATTAATAGCTACAAATGTTACTTCAGAGTTTAATGTTATTTACCTTGATCAAGTTGATCGCTTCCAAAGAGAGCGGCACACGCAGCGTCGAGTGGCAAGCACCATTGTATGGCGTTAAGTAGGAACAACTCCGACCATGCTTCTTCTAGGAGAATGACCTGGAAATAAAAAATAGGCTTCTAAAACTGAAGAGTACTTCAAATGATTGGTGATGCTTACATGATAAGATTGATGATAGTAGTATAAAATTGTATAATAATGACTGCCTCATTGGCAGAGTGGTCGCAAGTGCGACTGTCGGGCAAGGGGTCTCGGGTTCGATTCCCGGTCGGGCAGAGTATTACTGGGTTTTACAAAAAAATCTCAGTAGTAGCACGGAGACTGGAATTGTGCCCGGTATATGGCAATAGGCTCACCCCCTATTACATGGGACTCATAACATTAATAGTGAAAAGTGGGTGTAACATTGTACAGTTGCATAATGTGCACCTCTGCGTACCCCTTCTGGGATAAAAGGCGTGATGTTATGGATCTGTGAAATAGTTTTCGGCTGATCATAATTTACAGTTACATATTAAGTACTGAATCAACGAGACAGTCCAGTAAAGAAGTAGAACATAGATACTCGAATGGAATGCACTATATATTGGAAATATATAACACATTATTTCTACCTCCCCTTATTGGGAGACAGGTATAGCAACATGTACATAAAAGTACATTTTTATATCCTTACTTGCTAACTCGGCACCATGGTACGCAAATTGGTAGTTATTAGTAATTTGTTTATAAAGGAAAATCGACTCTATTCTTACGTAGCAATAAGGTATAAAGACGTAACTAAAACCATCATCAGTGACCAAAATTGTGTCAACAAAGACCTCTTTTTTACCGCAATTCCCGTTCCTAGAGACGACTAGTGGATTTTTTTTAAGGGGAGAAAATCATTGAATGACTACTCCCGCCTGGGTGAGGCGGGAGGGAGTGTCAGGCTCTTACTAACTAAAAACCACCCCGTTCCTTCTCCTGCACGTCGAGCCGGAGCCCTGGTAACCCGATAGGTTCTCCGCGACACGATTTGTGGATCGCAGTAATAATCGGATCGGTGATGTTATATATTATATCACCAAAATGTTTGGGACTACCTGCCTCGTTGGCCGAGTGATCGCAAGTGCGACTGCTAACAAGGGTTTCGGCTTCGATTCCCGGGTCGGGCAAAGTACTACTGGGTTTTTCAAAAAATTCTTAACACGTAACCTGAAATTGTGCCCGGTATATGGCAATAGGCTCACCCCCTATTACATGGGACTCATAATATAAATAGTGATAAGTGGGCTTTACATCGTACAGTGGCATTAATTGCCGTAATGTGCACCTCTAACCATCCCTTCGGGGTTAAAATCGTGATGCTATGCTATGTTATGTTATAGATTACTGATATTACACGGTGATGGATCGCAATTGTGCTTAGATCTTTAAAACTACGCAACGGATTTTGATGCGGCTTTTTTAATATATAGAGTGATTCTTAAGGAAGGTTTATATGTATAATACATGCATATTGCACCCGTGCGAAGCCGGGGCGGGTCGCTAGTATAAAATAAATATCTTATTTTTTATGGATAGCAGCAAAATAAGTATACGACAGCCTTAGTAAGGGTTTGTTTGACCCTCTTGGGCCTCCGATAACCTCACTCATTCAGCGAAATACAACACAACGTTGCTTCACGTCGGTCTTCTGTGAGGCCGTGGTATCACTCCGGTCGAGCCGGCCCATTCATGTCGATGCATTGCTTTCCCACACTTCTTGCATAATGAACCAATCAATCAAAGCCCCAATGCGATATCATTCTAAACTCGTACGATCAACTTAAAGTAAACGATTAGCGCCACACATGGACATTTGCAACACCAGAAGAATTACAGCCTTTTAAATGAAAAACGCTCTTTTTTAAAAGGTTTCAAGGTCGAATCTTACTTAACTTTAAATTATGAAGGTACAAACCTGGTCTCTAAAAGCGAGGCTAGCGAAGGAAGGAAGGTTCTTCGCCCATTTTACTGCCATAAAGAGCAGTCGAGCTGCTGATTCTGCTGCACTCTCTACTCCTAAAGGCCTGGAAAACAAAAAAGAATATCCTTAGTATAAGGTATGGTAAGAGACAGTCATGAGTTCGCCAGGTCGGGACTTCAATAATTGGATCAAATAAACTTTTTAAAAAATGTTTATACAACATTAACATAACATAACATAACATCACGCCTTTTATCCCCGAAAGGGAAGGCAGAGGTGCACACAGAAGTAACACCCACTTTTCACTATTTATGTTATGAGTCCCATGTAATAGGGGGTGAGCCTATTGCCATATACCGGGCACAATTCCAGACACCGTGCTAATACTGAGATTTTTTTAAAACCCAGTAATACTTTTGCCCGACCCGGGAATCGAACCCGAGACACCTTGCCCGGCAGTCGCATTTGCGACCACTTGGCCAACGAGGTAGTCACTATTACCTATAACAATAAAGAATATTATTTAATTTTAGTATTATTATAATATTAACTATAACAATAAAGAAATCGCAGTAAGGAACCTTAGACTTAGCACGACTTTGTATAGATTTTATTAATTTTTAGAGATAAACGAGTAGCTCCATCGAGACTTGGCCAGTTTTTTACATAATATTTTTAATTGGATAATTTATTAGATTAAATTCTGATCACGATCTTTTGTTCGGCTACGATTTTGCTACGATATGCTACGACGTGTTACGAAGTGCTACGGTATGCTACGTATTTTTTTCATACCTGTAAGAAGCGCAGTTTTGTTGGTAGTTGATGGCAGCTGGTGGTGAATATGAAGTGGAATCTTCTTCGTTAGTCACGTCGATACTGTCATCTGGAATTTAATAGTGACATTGGAATTTAGACCATATTTCTATAACATAAAGTGAGAGTTTTGCCGGAATACTGAAACGTTACTCAATTTTAAGTCGTGCTTAAATCTCTGTCATTTCACAAAGAATTTGTGGAGACAGAACTATACTTAAGCGTGACTTAAAATTGAGTAGCGTTTCAGTATTCCGACATTTGTCGATCATCTTAATCTATTTGAATTTTGGATATTTATGGTAAATTCTCAGCATATTTTGTAATGGTCATATGCCTCTCCTAAATTATTGTATACATATACAGGTGAATACCATACTCAATAGAATGCGCAAACAGTCAACTGAAAACGCTTTAACCTGTGAAGTGTCGGGACGCAAATCTACGCGAGACACAATATGTTTTCTATTCGTTCTTACGGTTAATGTATTGAGTTTTATAATACAATATCGTTACCATCACTATCAGTATGCACATTGCCCTCCTCGTTGTGATCATGCGAGGAGTCCGGTTGAGGTTGCTGCGTCGGTTGGGGCGGCGGCAGTGGAGCGTAGTGCGGAGACAGCAATGGATAGCGAGCTGGCGATAGTGCCATCGCGAGGGAGACTGGTGGCCTGTGGGTTAAGAAAGGTTTATTTAGTACATAAATATGTATAACACACATCTATGTACATTAGTTAGATAATGAAAAAGTGTGATGTCGAAATACTCAAACGCTACACAATTCTCATAACATAACATCACGCCTTTTATCCCCGAAGGGGTAGACAGAGGTGCACATTATGCCACTGTACAATGTAATTAACCCACTTTCCACTATTTATGTTATAAATCCCGTGTAATAGGGGGTGAGCCTATTGCCATATACGGGCACAATTCCAGACTCCGTGCTACTACTGAGTTTTTTTTTAAAACACAGTAATACTTTGCCCGACCCGGGAATCGAACTCGAGACCCCTTGCCCGCCAGTCGCACTTGCGACCACTCGAGCAACGAGGTAGTCTTTATTTAGTTTTTATTTATTCACTAACGACTCGCCCCGGCATCGCACGGGTGCAATATGCATGTATTATACACATAAACCTTCCTTATGGATCACTCTATCTATTAAAAAAACCGCATCAAAATCCGTTGCATAGTTTTAAAGGTCTAAGCATACATAGGGGCAGACAGACGGCGGATAGCGACTTTGTTTTGTACTATGTAGTGATGTTAAATCTTTACTAATATTATAAATCGGAAAGTGAGTTTGTTTGTTCCGATTTCACGCCGTAACTACTAAACCGATTGCTTTGAATTTTTGCAGACGTAAAGTTAGAAGTCTGGATTAAGTAATAGGGTACTTTGTTTTGATATTGCCGACTGATAACAAAAGTATTGGTATAGATGGCGCTGTATGTATTGGTATATGTCACATTAGCTTTTTATCCTTTTGTGACGCAAGCGAAGCCGCGGGTAAAAGCTAGTAATAGATAAATAAAAAACTACAAGAGAAGAAGAATAATGTAAGTTGGCAATATTATTTTGACAAATATTTTGTACTGACAAGTGACATCATGCGGATAATTTAACGTTACAACCGAACATATTTTCTAACCACAAGTTTCCATAATTTATTAAAATAAATGCATTAATGCACATACATATATATGCACATACATATATGGCAATTCATTTAATTTTCCTCTTTAAACCATCACTGAGTGAAACAAAGGTAAACGTTTATTTAAAAATATATCATCATCATTATCATCAACAGCCTATAAATGCCGACTGCTGAGCAAAGCCTCTTCTAACACGGAGAAGGTTTGAGCATTAATCACCACGCTTGCTCAATGAGGGTTGGCGATTTTAAACTTATATATAGAAACTAGCTTTTACCCGCGGCTTCGCTCGCGTCACAAAAGGATAAAAAGTAGCCTCTGTGTCATATAGGACAGCGCCATCTATACCAATACTTTTGTTTTCCCTCGGGAATATCACATTTTTCCGGGATAAAAAGTACCCTATTATTTAATCCGTACTTCTAACTTTACGTCTGTAAAAATTCAAAGCAATCGGTTCAGTAGTTACGAAAATAACGAGCGAGAGGTTAGAACGAGCAAGAAACTCCAGGTTACTCTTTTTCAATCGGGTTTACAATACAATCATCTAGTTACATAGTTTTGTTGGTTCGATTATGTGAGAACAATGCAACACCTTGGTAGGTTTTGAACCCGCATGAGAAGCAGGCGTCTTAAACCTTAGGGTCACCACGACATTATACTTAAAAATAATATAACTACATACATAATATTGTAACAACAGTGATCTCAAAATCGCTGACGTCTGTAAGTTGTAGGGAAAATGGCATCCAGTCACCTTTGACGACGCCTACGCCGCGCAACGAGGGTAAAAATAGAACCCTTTATATCAAAGACTATCCTTAAGCAAATCAAACTATTTATATCTTGATTGACGTCAAATGTACGATCTATATATCTATACAGATAAATAAAATCGGAGTGTCTGTTTGACTGCCTCGTTGGCCAAGTGGTCGCAAGTGCGACTGCCGGGCAAGGGGTCTCGGGTTCGATTCCCGGGTCAAGCAAAGTATTATTGGGTTTTTTAAAAAATCTCAGTAGTAGCACGGAGCCTGGAATTGTGCCTGGTAGATGGCAATAGGCTTACCCCTTATTACATGGGACTCATAATATAAATAAATAATTAAAGTGGGTATTAAATCGTACAGTGGTATAATGTGCACCTCTGCCTTTTATCCCCGAAGGGGTAGCCCTTCGGGGATAAAAGGCGTGATATTATGTTATGTCTGTTTGTTATATTAAAATAACCGCAACGAAACAATGTAACCAAAAATATTGTATTGTAAACCTGATTGAAAAAGAGTAACCTATGGAGTTTCTTGCTCGTTCTTCTCCATAGGAATCTACACTTTGGAACGAGCAAATAGCTTCACTAGAGGACTGACCCACAGACTGACATTTTTTCTTATTATTTAATATTTTGTTTTGACTTCAAAAGTGCCTTCCTGGTCTAATTGAAATAAATTATTTTGACTTTGACATTTGGTTTTGATTTTACTATATATGCATATTTTTTAATTTCTATCTGTCTATCTGTTTGTACCGGCTAATCTCTGGAATGGCTCGACTGATTTTGACGGGAATTTTATTGGTAGACCTGCTGATGTACTAAGGAGTATTTATTTATTATGCCCTAAAATCATGTTCTACGCGGATAAACAACGGGCAACAGCTAGTTAGTAAATATAAAAGGACGTTTGTTTGTTTGTTTGGCTTTTATAACTATAACGAGCTGTTGATGACGGTGATATTAAATGATATAAAAAATGAGGTCCACATTATAGCACTTAATGCCACTGTACAATGTAACTCCATCTTTTCACTATTTATGTTGTGAGTCCCATGTAATACGTGGTGAGCCTGTTGCCATATACCGGGCACAATTCCAGACTCCGTGCTACTACTGAGATTATTTTTTAATTCTATTTAGGTAAATTACATTATCATCATTATCAGGTTTGATTTTAATATTGAGATAGCTTAACAACTCACATGGAGATTCAGTCCTACTTAATATTATAAAGTTTGTATCTTTGTTACTTGTTCACGCCAAAACGACTGAAGGGATCGAGATAAAATTTGGAACAAGGAATTATGGTCTGGGATAACACATGAGCTACTTTTATCCCATGGGACCGCCGGCGAAGGCAGAAGAAGATAGTAATAAAAAAAACACTTTTCATCTTACAAGCAAAGCCGTGAAATCTTGCAAGCTATCACCACATCCATTTACAAAGACATAAAAACAAAAGTTCATCATAATATAGAGAACTAGCAGCCCGTCCCGGCTTCGCACGGGGTAGACAATTATTTATTTTTGGTTTGGTTTGTTGTAGTGACATAACTACAATAGTTGGACATATGCTACCGCGGAGTTTTTTGTAGACATTATGATGTTGTTCAATATTGTTGTATGTACATTATTTTGTTCTATCGTTAATAGTTTCGGCAGCGCATTCGACGAAAGACATTTTAAGACTCATTTTTCTACACCTTCGGTTACATTGTTCAAATTTTACCAAAGATCCCTAATTTTTTTTCAAAATGAAATGTAGCCTATGTCAAATTGAAAGAATGTAGCATTCTATTGGTGAAAAAATTGTTTAATTCGGCCCAGTACTTTTTGATCCTCTTCATTACAAACATACAAACATACAAAAATATGTACAAATCTTTCCTCTTTATAATATTAGTATAGATAATTAGCTATAAATAACCAGCTCATGACGTCAAGTTGACGAGCCGTGCCGATCAAGTCACCGTCAACTTTGATCAAAGGTTGGCAGCCAGCCGCTGACCAGTGGCGCTTGACGTCCAATGGCGGGTGAATGAGCCGCCATTTTGCTAACGTTTTCTACTCGAATGACCGTTATTTTAAATTGTTTTTGTTTTTAAAGTAGCCTTTATTTAGTTTACTGATTACTAGCTGTTGCCCGCGATTTCGTCCGCGTAGAATAATTACTTCTGGCTGAAATGAGGCTTTTGAATTAGTCTTTACCAACGGACATTCTACCGTAATAAATGTCTTCAGAATTGATTCAGTACCATCGTTGACCCGACTTGTTAGGAATACGCATGCAAAATTTGAAGTAAATCCGTGCAGTACTTTTTGAGATCATCCCAGACATACATACAGACAAACAGACAAAAATTCCAAAAACCATATTTTTCGCTTCGCTATCGATTGCAGATCAGATTATTGAAGGGAATATGGAATTGTCTAGGTGAAAAGGTGTGTAACCATTCATTAAGCAGATATTTATCACGATTACGCACGAATACGGCTCGACCGGAGTGATACTACGGCCTCACGAACGACCGACGTAAAACAACGCTTGCGGTATACTAGTCTTCGCGTGTGTGAGGTTACCGAGGGCCCAATTCGTAATCCCTGAGTCCCCAACAATCCTCAAATTCCTAATCCCAAATGGCTAGTAACGCACTTTTTTTTTGGGACAAGCCCGCCACAACCTCCCAAAACCTCTTTTTTCTTCTCCTCTTATAATATCTTTTGATTCATTTCGTTGCGGGAACCAAGACAGTTAGTCATGTCCCTGGGACGCGCCGGACTTCAGTGTTCCGGTGTTTTCATGGTTGTATCTACTGTAGATCCTGGCTTACAGGAGTTGCAGCGGTTTTGGGAGGTAGTAACGCACTTGTAACGCTTCTGGTATTTCAGGTGTCTTTATGCGACGCTGATTGCTTACCACCAGGTGATCCGTCAGCTCGTTTACCGGCTTATCCCATAAAAAATGTGTATAAATAGGACCAGAGTAGAGTAGAGGCCTTTGGTCAGCAGTGGTTTCTTATAGGCTGTTGACAGTGGCGTGCAGTCCATATAGGCAAATAGGCTTTGCTTGACATAAAATGTACTAACGCGTTTATTAAGATTCAATAATATAATAAAAGTTTGTAAAAAAACGGCTAACATAAATATACATTCACATATTTTATACACGGACCGCACGCCTTTGTAAAGCAATGAATGCGCGCCGCACGCACCACGCATGCGCTGCTATTCCTTAAATCTTGGTTGGTGGTTGTGACGTCACAAAAAGTATGCAACGCGCATGCGTGAAGGTCACGTGACTGTGGTCACAGCACAGAATAACCATTCATAAACGCAAAAAATTATTACACGATTCAATCTAGCCGGACTTTTTGTTTGTGAATCTGCGCCATCTATTGAATTTTTTGTTAAAACTTCTGAACGCGTTCGGTATAATGGGAATGTCTTTTTATAATTATGCATACTAAAAAAATATATTTCAGGTGTTTTAATTAAATCTTAACATTTTTACGCGTTGTCGCTTTATAGAAACTTTAAACGAGGAGTTGACTTTATTATTTTAAAAGTTAAAAGGAAGTTATCGAAACGTCAAGTTGCCGCTACTCAAAGTTTCAAATTATTATCAACGAATGTTTCTTATTGGAAAATAATAATAAGACAATGATGCAATTCCATTTGACTTACGTAAATTAACGTTTTGTTTTTTTTTATAATTAAACACTGTGTTGCCTTAATGTTTTAGCTATAATTTTTTTATAATAAACACTCAATTGACTACGATGGGTAATGACTTTCCAATGTTTTCGGCCATATTGTTTTCATGTGATGTGCGATCGCTTTGTTTATGTTTTCGTTTAAATTATAGGGAATTAGTTTTAAACATAAAGTTGCATAAATATGTGTAGAAGTAGTAAAATATATGTGTCGGTTTTTCAAATAGTGTATTTGTTTATCAGTGTCTAGTATATTATTCGATTGTGAAGTTTGTGTTGATAATAGGTAATTTTTTGTGTTTGTTTAAAGTTAAAAACAGTAAGTTTTCGCAAAAATGTGTCCTATAACGACTAGATTCAGGTAATGACCATAGGCAGAACTCAAGTTACGAGAATTGACCCAAGTCAAAGGTAGGTAATGTAAATATGTAGGTACTATAATGGATCTTTTATAAATGATGTTCTTGTTTACTGATTGATAATTCTTAAAAATATCAACTTATACCTCGGGTTGTTTTGATTTACATATTAATTTATTATTAATAATTATGTAATGTAATAACAAATGTACCGCTTATACTCGGCTCGGCCACAGCCGGCCGCGCTTGTTGTTGTTTTGTTTGTTGGTAGGTACCTACGTTCTTAAATTCGTAATTATGATTTTGAATAGATTATTTAGCAATTTGATAATTGAATTTGGTTCATCAAATTTATGATTCATTATTAGCATAATAAATAGATGCTTCATTATTTGTAAGTTTTGTTGGCTTATTCGATAGCTGATGTAGTACTTTACAAAAAATACGCGAGATGTCAGTGTATGTAATTTGGCGAAAGAATAAACCACAATATTCTTGAACGTACTTTTCAACAAAATGTATTCTATACATGTACCTGTCTTGTAGGAGTATGATTGTATGACCGGGGGGGAGGGCTTTAATCATACGATATTTAGTTGCCTACCCTGTCTCGAAAATCTGTGCACGCCACTGGCTGTTGATGTATGAAGATGTAGACAGACTTCAAAATACGAAAGAAAAGTAAATTTTAGCAACATTGCCCTAATTCACATAATCTCTTTGGTATATTATACACAACCCTGAAATAAGAACTCGTTCGAAATAACAAGAGCTCTTACCTTTACTATTCATGGTAATAAAATCTGAATCATTCAAATTGGCAATCATGGTTAGTGCGTTCCCATGTCCCAAATAAGTATAGTGTTAATACTCTTATGGTTATGTTAAATTCATGGGGTTTTTATGGATAGGGGGCAAGTGAAGGTGAGAGTTACAAAATATGATTATGTATCTAGTGTAGCGTTGAAAGTGATTGGATAGAAGCTTTAGGGGTCTTTCTTTGTATACAGTTTAGTTCCGATTTATTTCGTTTTTTTTATGGGATAAGCCGGTAAATGAGCAGACGTATCACATGATGGTAAGCAATCGGCGTCGCCCATGGACACCTGGAAAACCAGAGGAGTTGCAAGTGCGTTACCGGCCTTTTGGGATTAGGAATTTGAAGCTTGTTGGGGATTCAAGGATTTGGGAAAAAGGGGGGGTAATTGGCCCTCCGGTAACCTCAATCACGCGACGAAACACAACGCAAGCGTTGCTTCACGTCGGTTTTCTGTGAGGCCGTGGTATCACTCCGGTCGAGCCGGCCCATTCGTGCCGAAGCATGGCTCTCCCACACTCACAACCTTCCTTTCACATACTAAATCTTTTCATACGTATTTCCGTATCAAGCCACTAGATTCTAAGCGAAAACAATGAACACAAGTTGTCAAACAATGTCTGTGTGTGTAGTCTTTGACTCGTCTCATGGAAACTGCGTGAAGCAGTGCGGAACGCGCTTTGTTTTAGATGAATTTTTCACTGAAGCCGTTGCTGGCCGCTTTTGAAGATATCGTTTTGTACTTTTGTCTGGGTAATGCTTGAAGTATATTTTAGTATATGGTATGACTGCCTCTTTGGCCGAGTGGTCGCAAGGGCGACTGCCGGGCAAGGGGCCCGGGTCGGGCAAAGTATTATTGGATTTAAAAAAAATCTCAGTAATCGCACGGAGTCTGGAATTGTGCCCGGTATATGGCAATAGGCTCACCTCTACTACATGGGACTCATAACATAAATAGTGAAAAGTGGGTGTTACATTGTACAATGGCATAATGTGCTTACCCCTTCGGGGATGAAAGGCGCGTTGGTCTTTTACTGGTCTTACCTTGACGTGGTCTCCAATTTTCAACACATCTATTCTAGTAAGTCACTCAGTATTAATGCCTATGAAGGTTAGGAACTCACCCAAACACCCCGACAGCAACGGCAGCTTCTCTCAGAGCTCTCTCCTGGTCCATGTCTCTCAGAGCTTCAGGTCTGATGGTGGCTGTGTTACGTGGCTGCCGTTCGTTCTGTACCGCTGTGGAAAAAATGTAGTATTAGTTTAATTGCATCTTGTCAAATCTAATAAGTTTATAACACACTTGTCTATACCCTTCCAAGGGTGGCATTAAGGCTGAATGGCCTATAAAGGACTATCCGTTAAGCGTAGGAGAGCCATGTTTCGTCACGAATGGGCCGCATCGACCGGAGTGATACCATGGCCTCACAGAAAACCGACGTGGAACAACGCTTGCATTGTGTTTCGTCATGTGAGTGAGGCTACCGGAGGTCCAATTACCGCCCAATTAATAAATGAAAAAGTTGGTGGCTCAGAGGTTTAAGCCGCCCGCTACTCATACATGAGACTGTGGGTTCGAAACCTATCAGCAGCAAGTACCAATGTAATTTTTTCCAAGTTATATGTACTTACTAAGATTGTTTAGACACCACTGACAAACGGTGTAGGAAAACATCGTGAGGAAACTTAAGCTTATAATTTCGAAATTGTCAACCCGCTTTGAGCAATCGTGACGATTAATGCTCAAGCCTTTGGTCAGCAGTAGCCACTTATAGGCTGTTAATGTAGAAATGATGTTGAAATGAAAACCGAAGAAACACAATGAACATGAAAAAATCTCATGATCTAAAATTTCATTTGCGACCAAACGACCAATAAGTTAGTCCCAAGTACCTATCATTTGCCTACACCACAAAAGCCTCACAGATGCATATCCTAAGTATATACCTCCATACAATACGTTATGATTGATAGCGGTATACAGCGAGCAGAAATACGTGTGCTCTGTAAAAATAAAGCTCTTTTGCAACACTCGCCAGTCGCCCCTTTGTATCATAGGGTTGGCACGATGACAAAATATCAAGTTGCATATGAATTTTTAACCGACTTCAAAATAGGAAAGAGGTTCGACATGTATGTATGTATTTATGATTGTGCGTTATCTCGCCATTGGCTAAATAGTCTCACCTATTACACCCATACCTAGAATAGGCTCACCCCCTATTACATGGGACTCATAACATAAATAGTGATAAGCGGGGGTTACATTGTACAGTGGCATTAAGTGTTGTAATGTGCACCTCTGCCTACCCCTTCGAGGATAATAGGCGTGATGTTATGTTATGTTATGTTGTTGGCTAAATAGATTGTGATGCGGTTTTCAGAAACGTGTTTGTTACACTTTACAGAAGAATGCGGGTGTTCTAAGAGCTGACTAAGAGACTACGCATATATGGATGTCGCGGAGAACCTAACGGGTAACCGGGGCTCTGGCTCGACGTGCAGGAGAAGGAACGGGGTGGTTTTTAGTCAGTAAGAGTCTGACACTCCCTCCCGCCTCACCCAGGCGGGAGCAGTCATTCGATGATTTTCCCCCTTAAAAAAAACGCATATATGGACACCGAGCCGCAGCTATGTCTCACACTCGACATTCCTCCAACTCGCCTACTGAGTATGAGATTGTTTGTGGCAAGTATTTAGAGGCCCATTGTGAACTATAGCGAATTGTCGATGGGTAACGTATTTTTAAACAAAATAACTGTAACCAACGGTTTTATAAATTACTAGAGGACCTAACAGACGTTGTCCTGCATATCCGCTTGAATGTATAAACAAAAATTCTTTCAAATTAGTTCAACCGTTTAGGAAAACTAACCTAAACACCGACTGCAGCGCCATCTGCCAGGCTGATTTGTGAATCTAAACCATTCCCAGATCCCCTTGAACACACACAAAAATTTTCATCAAAATCGCTCCAGTCATTTGAGAGAAGTTCAGTGACATACACTCACAGAAGAATTATACATATAAAGATAATTAAAATTTAAAATTCCCATATGAAAAATCTCATAAAAATATTGGCAACCCTAGAGCACCTAGTCAATACATACGATAGTGGTCTAGTAACTTCCCGGGTGGGGCAAAGTTGACTGCTTTGCTGTGCATAACAGGTCGATGTTTCGATGCCTCTACAAAAAAATATTTGTGTGATCCAAGTCGTTATTCTAGGTCTGGGTGTAATATGTGTATTTGTATTGAATTTGTAAGTTGGTAGTAACCCACTACATGTATCAATAGGTATTTTGATATCAAAACCTATCCTAATAATAATCGCGGGACGATCTCCGGCCACCGTAAGCGCGGGCCTGCGGACGACGAGAATGGGTGGCTCACCGTCCGACCAGAACCAGACCCGAGCGTACGGCGCGTCGCGTTCCGTGCGCGCCTTAAAGAGCTATCAGACCACCACGGATGGGGCCCAACAGGGCTGATGCCGATTCGGAGTTGCGGAGAACCTAACGGGTAACCGGGGCTCCGGCTCGACGTGCAGGAGAAGGAACGGGGTGGTTTTTAGTCAGTAAGAGTCTGACACTCCCTTCCGCCTCACCCAGGCGGGAGCAGTCATTCGATGATTTTCCCCCTTAAAAAAAAAGACCCGAGCGTACGGCGCGTCGCGTTCCGCGCGTACCTCAAAGAGCCTTCAGACCACTACAGATGGGGCCCAACAGGGCTGATGCCGATTCGGAGTCGCGGAGAACCTCACGTGTTACCGGGGCTCCGGCTCGAAGCGCAGGAGAAGAAACGGAGTGATTTTTAGTCAGTAAGAGTCTCTTTCGATGATTTTCCCCCTTAAAAAAATCCTAATAATAATACTTATTGCTCTTATTCAATAGATTCCAAGATCGTTGAAACAATAACTCTGCAATTAAACTGACGTTTTAAATATGCATAATTGTATATGCAGAACCACGATGCAACTTTAAAACTATACATTGCACACCTCTGCTGATCCGCATTCTACACAAAGCTTGAAGTTACAAACCACCGCTGCAACTAATAGACAGACATTTGAACACGAATTAATGCTCACACACACATACACACACACACCCACACTATCACACCTACACCCCACTACACTTACACTATAAATCAAATCGCCCCTCCCACATCCGGCCGCAGCCATCTTTGAGATCTCACTTCCGGTGTTGCGAGAAAGCAGGATGGATATACCATAGTTTTGTATATGAGTGAAAGAGATGGATAGATGTTTGTGATTTTTGATTGATTCTCGAATTTGTATAGAGCTTTGTGGAGCTTTCGCGAATGGGATCATTGGGTCGCATTTATATTCTTTTTTGTTTTATATGTTGTTTTGTAAATTGGGTATATTGTGAATTGTAATTGGCTTATTTTAAAATTGTTCGTATAATATTATCTATTGCCATTTCTGATTTTATGAAATTGGAAAAGAGAATGGCTGTGATAAACTTTTAGCAGGCGTTGATTATGAAAACCAATTGACAAATTAGTTACCTATTGATCTTAAGAAGCAAACTATTCGCAATTAAACCCTCATTTCCGACTTCGATTCATTACTTAGCGACTGAAACTTTATTACCTTACAATAAGATCTAGATACTCCGAGTCCTCATCGTCAGCAAAGCAATTATAACTCTGCGATTGGAGAATGATTTTTTGATTTATTTATTTACAGTTTTATGTCCGAAATGTATATCGGAGGTACCTACCTTCCTTGGCGGCTTTGTTCGTCGCCAAGGAAGGCCACGATCTCAGGTCACAACTAAAAGGCAGGATCGATTCATCGTGACGACCAGCTTGAGAAATCGTCACCTCCATTGAGATACAAAACCAACTTTCGCGACTTCCATGGAGTATCTGTGAGCGCTCGAACAGTTCGGAGAAGGTTAAAAGAACGCGATATGGTACTACATAAGCCAGCTAATGGGCCCAAACTAACGCGAGCCCACCGAACAGCGCGCCTTCATTTCGCACGCAGTCATTTAAATTGGACACAGCAAGATTGGAGCCGTGTACTCTTTTCTGATGAGTCTAAAATTGTATTACATGGCAATGATGGAAGGAAGAAAGACTACCGACGTAATGGGAGATGATCCCTCAAAATTTCATAGAGCGGTTGATAAACTGTATGCCTAATCGTATGAGAGCTGTGGTAGATGCCCATGGAGGCAACACGCGTTACTAAATTAAACCTTTATTTGATAAAACATGTTTTTTATTCAAAAATCTATTGCCTTTAACAAGGCGCATATCCGATTTGTTAGGCGTAGCTCCATGTCGTATGGTATTCTGAATTCAAATTTAAAACAATACGATCGAAAAAGATGGTAAAATGTATCAGGTTTAAAACTGCATCAACAGTTTTTGTTCAATCTAGCAATCATATTTCGGTAGAGGCCATCGAAACCTAAACTCTAAGGTGGGCCAATATATGTGTCCAGAAGTGCAATAAAGTTAAATGTTACAATTAATAAATTTAAATGTTACAATTAATAAAGTTCAACGTCACAGTTAATATGACACTTAGGCAAAGTCAATATTTTTAATGGATCTTAAATGACACGATTCTGGAATTTTCACATAATATTCTGTATTTATCAATCTATATAATAATTGTCTCATAATTTCACATCACTCAATCAGTTGAGGTCAGTCTCCCTAGAACGTCTACCAACTTTTTGCTCAATATATCTTTTATTTTATAAAACGTACGCAATAAAACAAATGTAGCAATAATCCACTAAACATTTGCACAGAACAATCATAATTTAAAAATAAAATCACAAGGATCAGGTGCATATTCCAACCCCTAAACTGAAACGAACTAATAAAAATATATCTGTCTCTTTCCCCCTCACACAAAGTCATATATTACCATTTCACTTATAAACGACTTCTGTCAAACCGGCGACTTAATGGTTATTGATTTCGATTTAATGGCGAGGGGATTTGAACTGTATTTTTATGATGGGTAGGATCAGTTTTGTTTGAATGTAGCCAATGGAGCGTGGAGTATGAGGTTGGGGCCCGTAATTTAGCGATAATGTGAAGGACGTGGGGGCTTTAAACAAAATGTACTTGGAAATAATATTTACAGTAGGTAGGTAAGGGTGCAAGTGATACAGGTTCAAAATAATGATACACTGCATGCATTACTTTAAGCAAATGTTGCTTGCAGTTCTCAAAAATACCTAAAA